TTTATTTCAAATTTGGGTTTGTAAAATTTTGTAAATATTATATATATAATTTTATTTTATTTATAGATAAAAAAAATTATTTATAATCTACTTTGTTAATATATTTTTAGTTAGTTTATAGTTTTCAATGTTTATATATTTTATTTTAAATTTGGGCTTGTAAAATTTTGTAAATATTATATATATAATTTTATTTTATTTATAGATAAAAAATTTTATTTATAATCTACTTTGTTAATATATTTTTAGTTAGTTTATAGTTTTCAATGTTTATATATTTTATTTTAAATTTGGGCTTGTAAAATTTTGTAAATATTATATATATAATTTTATTTTATTTATAGATAAAAAATTTTATTTATAATCTACTTTGTTAATATATTTTTAGTTAGTTTATAGTTTTCAATGTTTATATATTTTATTTTAAATTTGGGCTTGTAAAATTTTGTAAATATTATATATATAATTTTATTTTATTTATAGATAAAAAAATATTACTTATAATCTACTTTGTGAATATATTTTTAGTTAGTTTATAGCTTTCAATGTTTATATATTTTATTTCAAATTTGGGCTTGTAAAATTTTGTAAATATTATATATATAATTTTATTTTATTTATAGATAAAAAAATATTACTTATAATCTACTTTGTGAATATATTTTTAGTTAGTTTATAGCTTTCAATGTTTATATATTTTATTTCAAATTTGGGCTTGTAAAATTTTGTAAATATTATATATATAATTTTATTTTATTTATAGATAAAAAAATATTACTTATAATCTACTTTGTGAATATATTTTTAGTTAGTTTATAGCTTTCAATGTTTATATATTTTATTTCAAATTTGGGCTTGTAAAATTTTGTAAATATTATATATATAATTTTATTTTATTTATAGATAGTTACACTTTTCCAACTTTATCATAATTGTAGGATACTTATAAGACTAGAAGGTACTCTCTAATAGTGCATATAATTATTTTGTTTGTTCAAACATGTTTTTATTTGTATGCAACCTCAATTTTTATATCAATTATGTAGAAACTTTAATAGTGAATAATTTCGATCATTATTATTAATAGAACATAAGAAGAATTATTACTCAAAATCTTTACGTTAATAAAAATATAAATTGTTGTAACTATTATTTATAGATGATTAAAAAAATAAAATTGGGAAGAAGATAGTAAGTAAAAATTACACGTTATATTAAATTATCTTTACATTAATAAAAAAAGAAATTGTTGTTTGTATTATTTGTAATATAATTAAACAAAAATAACAATGGGAAGAAAATAATAAGTAAAGATTACACGTTGTATTAAAATAATAAGTATTAAAAATTATGATAAATTTTATAATAGTCATAACAGGAATTTACGCAATAATTACTATATTAGAATACTAGAAAAATTGATAAGTTCCTCGACATCTAATCATTGATTAAAATTTAAATTATTATTTTCTTCTGCGAAAGTTTAAGAGATTAAATTAATGTTTTAAAAAATAATATTAATTATTTTCAATGATTAATAAGAAAATGTATATAGCAAGTACATGTATTATTATTACATTATTTATATCCACTCTATATTAAATCATTTTTCTATTATAGTTTGACGCAAATTTCAGAATGTAAAGAATGTTTTGGATTCGAAAAATAAATATTCAAAATATACTAACATGTCATTTAATCTTATGATATTTTACATTTCATGTGAAAAAAAATTAAATATTAATTTTTTAATATGAAAAATATTAATTTATTAATACAACATAAAAGTAATAAAGGACAATATATAAAAATATTTGAAGTATTTGATATTTTTATTAAATTAAAATAATTCTAAATTAATATATAGCCGCGCAACGCGCGGGTACGTATACTAGTGAAGAACAATAATAAAGAAGAAGACAATTGAGTTAATATTTATTTTTTCCAAGTTTATTTTAACACATGACCAATTTTTATTGGTCAGTGCTGTCTAAAAGCTGCACCCACGCGCTTAACATAGGTGAAATCACGGACTCAGCCACGTAGGCCGAAAAGTGGTAAACAATTAACTAAAAAATAAGTTCAGGGGGGTAATAGGACCTTACTAAAGGTTAGGTGTGTCTCAGGGATTTTGCGAATAGGCTGGGGGGTACTTATGCATTTTCCCAAAAATGTAAATAATTATATTAAATTTTGATAATAATGAGTCGGGTTTAATTGATTTACCTTTCCATCAATAGTCCAAATAACATTTTCAGTGCAAGGTGGTACTGTTAAGGAGCCCATATACCTGTAATATCTTTTTTCATCTATTTTTATTAGATTTGGATAATTAATTCCAATGGCTTTTTGATCTGCAAGTCTAAGAGCTTCTAAATCCTTCTCTATCTGTGATAATTACAAATAAATAATAATATCAAAAATTTTAAAAATATAAAATCGATTAAATTATATTGATAGCGTAACAAATAAATTTGTGTTTACCATAGTTAGGAAGAGATCAGGAAATAATCCAATCTCGTAAAGGATTCCAATGACTGCAATATTCTTTCCATCATTCGTTTCATGTACCAAATGACCCTCCATATCAAACCTTCATTTGATATACGCGGATAATTCTTAATAGAACTATTTACACTATCAGTATATATATACATATATACACACGCTTTAAGAATATACCTTTTTCCATCGATAGTATGTTCAGAAGGTGTGTGCCAATGAACTTGTTTAAGTCGATATTGAGTGCCATTTATCTTCAAAAATCCTCCATCATCCCATCTCAACTACATTATTTATAAATTAATACTTAATTCACTTATTACAAAATAATTTCAATTTATAATATCATGATCAAAGTCGATTTTTTAAATTTAAACGTACGTACCATTATATCATGGCCTCTGTTCAAGAGAGTGGCATTTGATGGTTTGTAGAATTTTTGAAGTATTCCTAAATTGGAAACAATTTCAACCTTATTGTTAGGAAAATCAATTGGAGACTGCAGTTTTCCAGTTTTGCATTTGATCCAATTTGGATGAATATTGCTCCAGTTAGCTGGTCCATTCTCCGCGTTTTCAATGTAACTAAACTCACTCTCATCATCTACATCAATTCCCCAAAAGGATCACAACTTTATTCACTAATATGTTAGTGTAGAAGAAGTTTTATTTGTACTATCAAATCAGCTAAAAGATATAACGCAGATTAAAGGACGTTAATAATGCAAATTAAAAAGACTCTCGAGGGTTCTATTTCTAATAATAAAATACATTTAACGTACCAACTTCTCCAGATCTTGCAAGAAATGCACTTGAAAGGAAAGCAAAAGAAATAAACAACATTTTGGTTATTGTTGCCATATTCATATTATTATATCTTCAACTATACTTAGAAGTGTTTTGTGAGTTGATGAGGAAACTCAGTAAATTCATTGATACTTATATAGGGGGAGTAAGGTAATATGAAGCTGACCAAAAAAATGTTGTAATTTTGACAATCTTCTCTTGCCAACTTTTTTTTTCCGACTAATTCCATGGGTATTTGTCACGTCCTACTAGCAATAGGGATCAAGTAACTCTGACCACCAAAATTACTTCTCTTGCCAAATGTTATTAATTTGGATTTAAGTTGTATGTACTAACAATCTTTTAGGTATTATATATGTATATATATATATATATATATATATATATATATATA